GCCGAGTCCCTCTCGCACGGCTCGCTGGGGGCCTAGCACAGTGGGTTTACACCGGTCGCACGTGCAAAGTAACTCTCAAAAATGACCCCTTGGCCATAAAAAAGAGCCAGCCACGTTAGTGCCTCAAAATGTCACAACTCAGGAGTTGGTTTCTCTCTAGTTTTTGTGCAAATGTGTGGCAGCGCCCCCTCAGCAACGACTTCTAGGGCAGCATTTCTCAACCTGTGGGTCTGGACCCAAAAGTGGGTTGCAAGAACGTATGAAAGGGTTGTGAACAAACTTTTAAAATAGATTCTCCGTTAAAAGAGAAAAATGTGGGAAACGGTGGCTTTTCCCTCGCAGGCTGCCAGAGTTCCAGCCTGTGGGGGGCTGCTTGGGGCCTCCCATTGCCCCCCACACTGCGGGCAGCAGGTTGGGAGTGAGGGGTACTGGGGTGGGACTGGCCATCACTGTTTACAAATGGGTTGTGGTACAAAAACGGTTGAAAACCACTGCTTTAGAGCTCTGTAACTGAAGCGTTACTTTATTGGTGTCCTTTGTGAAAAGCACCAGAGCCTCCTGCATCGGGATGCCAGTAGGAACAGCATTTAGCAACTAGTTTTCTCCTTAGGCACCTTACTTCAATACAGTACTTAAACCCACAAAGGGCAAATCCTTGCATGTGGAAGGATTAGTAGGAAAGGAAACTTAGCCATCACGGATCTCTTGTAAATCTAAATTGTATCTCTGACACAACTTGTGTAATTACCAAGTAATCTGAGCTAACATGGCCGTGGCTTGTTTCTTTGGAGCAACATCTTGCAAATACCAGTATTAAGCTTATGTCTCCCTTGCCATTACATAATTGTACAAAAAGAAAGTATTTGTTAGCACAGCAATTATGTGCCCAGAGGATGCAGACTTAGGGTCTTGCTTGAATTACAGGTGGTTGGATTTGGATTTGGCAGTCCTTGGTAGCTTGATCTCTGGGGAAAGGAGTGACTTGAGTTCTGTGAAGGGTTCTTTCACCATGTGATATTAACACTCATGATCGGAAATGACTAGTATTCATGGTCACATGGTGTTCAGTAAGTAGTTAAGTTGTGATCTTATGGGTAGTGAAAAGGCATATGGAATTGGAATAAACTGCTCTATAGAAATTATAAATTAAGAGAAATTTCCACAAGAAAGGCAGCAATGCAGGAACTTCCAAGTAAGTAAACAAATAAATCATGTACTGTTAAGTTTTTCAAGGACTAACCTCTGTTCATTTTCTAATCTAACTGAGAAGTGAAGCTGATGTTTTTGCTTGTATTCCATGTTATGTAGAAAAAGAGAGCTAAAGTGGTTTGAGTTAAAGATTAGAATTAATCTGAAACTTCATAGATGATGTGGTTATAATATTTGCATTCTTATGTAAATTTCTTGCCTTTATTTTAAAGAAAATGCCAACAGTCAATTATAAAATATCTAATTCCTGATTTAAAAAAAAATTAGACTGCCACAAAGCTGTTGGGTAAACATGTACTCTGGAATTTAGCACGGAGTTTATTTAGTAGATTAACATCTTTTGAAACTTCCTGGATTATTTTGTTTAAAACTATCCAAAATTGCATCCAGTATATTAGCATGAAACACAGAATTGAATAGTATAAGTTATGCATTTACATAACTTAATAGACCCTGAAAAAATGGTTAGTTTTGTTTGTAGATATGGATCTTCTAGTCACAACAAGAACAGCCTGGGGCCAGAGGAATGTTCCCCACTTTGTTTTGTCAAGGTTCTTCCTAGTGAGGCAGGGTTGAGAGAGAATTTATAAGGGATGGGGAGGTACACTGCTGTCCAAGACTGGGTACAGGCCATAGACACAAGTACATAGGTTATGATTTCAGAACTATTAATATTGATCTATTCTGATACCAGTTTTTATGCACTTATTCTTCACACATGCAGATGTGTATGTATATACACACATGCACACAAGCACTAAAAATGTTATCCAGTGCATCTAACTTCCAATAATGAATCCAGTTTTATTAAGTTACTTAAAACCACTGCCACTTGTTTATATAGATCTATTGCGCAGCGTTCATTCTGTTTTCTTTATAGGAAAAAAGGAGTATACTTCTAGCACGTTTAGAAGAACAAATCCTGGTTCTGGCAATCCCAGGAGAAGAACATTTCCCCCCTATCCCCTCTATCCTGTAGAAGAGGTGGGGGAAAAGTGGTTTCCTTTTTCTCTCTGAAGGTATTACATTTTGTGCACCTTCACTTACCAGGGCAGAAATGGTCTGAAAAGAGAGGGAGCATCTCAAACTAGTTAGAACTGTAACCATCAAAGGAAATGCTTACAATGATCAAAGGAAACCATTACAGTGTGGAACACCAGCGGTATGTGCTTCCCATGCTGGGTTGCAGACGGCTGACACATTTTGGACTGGCTTCAGCTTCTGGATTTTATGCACAGTGCTAAGTAGGGCACATCCCAATAGTTCAGTTTCAGTGATAAAGGCACGAACAAATACAGATAGAATATATGAAACCAGTATTTTAGGTTTACCTTACATGTGCAGATAGAAAGAGATGTCCTTTGACACAGCTGCTTGTTTTCAGGGCTTTCCTTGAAAACCCAAGGTGTCTAATAGGATTTCTTAAGTTTGGTTTTTAACCCCATTTTAGCAATAAATGGCCAGTCAGTTAGTGGCACTCATACAATTCTAGCTGGTTGAAAACGGTTGTCTTAAGTAGCACTTTTCCTATTAAAGGAAGCTAGTATGTGACCACCCTTCTTTTCTAGATAGGAAAATTGAGGCACAGAGGACAAGGGATTTGCTGGTCAGTCAGTTTTGTTTTGCCCAGTCTGTTTCTGCCTTGTTCAGATTGAGCCTCTGTTGGGTAGCCCATTATCCAGTCTTCAGCAGATGCTAGGTCATTCTACTTTAATAGCAGAATTAGGCATAAGGATACTGACTAATTGTGTATTGTTAATCTGCAGCTGATACAGCAGTCCTTAACTCCTTACTAATGGCTAAGAACCCCCAAACCGGATGTACTTGCAGTTGTTGTGGTTATATTATCATGCTAGGTAGCTTATGAACAGATTGGGTTACATCTAAATATTCCTCTCCCAGAATCCGTACTGAATGGATTTTTTGTTTTTATTAAAGGTGCAGAGCATGGAGAATGATGAACTTCCGCCAGAGGATGGGCTGGATTGGTGTGGGGTTGTATCTGCTGGCAAGTGCTGCGGCTTTTTACTATGTCTTTGAAATCAATGAGACATACAACAAACTAGCATTGGAGCACATTCAGCAACACCCTGAGGAACCACAAGAAGGAACCACATGGATGCACTCCTTAAAAGTACGACTGCTGTCCTTGCCTTTTTGGTTGTGGACTATCATATTTTTAATACCCTATTTACAGATGTTTTTGTTTCTCTATTCCTGCACAAGAGCTGACCCCAAAACTGTGGGCTATTGCATCATCCCTATCTGCTTGGCTGTTATTTGCAACCGTCACCAAACATTTGTGAAGGCCTCTAATCAGATCAGTAGATTACAGTTGATTGACACTTGATACAATCTCTGGTTGCCATAGCTGCTTCAGAAACCATGCATATGCCTGATCTAATCACAAGACTGAACGGAAATACTGAACAGAGGCTAGAAAAGAGCCTTTTCTTTCAAACAGTTAAAAGGGGAACAGAATAGCAGGTTTTTAATTTTTAAGATAAGTTACAATTTTTAAAAGTGTGGATCTACCATGTCACCAGAAAGGAAGAGTCCTCTGTAACATGATGGGATAACTTCTCATTTTGCCTTATGATGAAAACTTGCTACACTCCATTTGAACCATCATGTGGGAAGTCCATTTCTGGTCTGCAATCTTACTCTGCTGTACAAAAAGACAAACAAAAAAGATGATTTCCTAGGTTTCCTTTTGAGAAAAATCAAAGAACAGACATTTTGTGGTAAAATGTAAAATGATTAGAACATGATTATAAAAGCTGCACTTAACACAATACTTTGCATTCTCATTTTTCTGAATACATATTTCACACTTATGTTAGAGCTTGTTTTTTAATTCACTGTTTTTAGAAGCAATTGTATTACACTGGAAGCAAAAAATGACATATGGCTGATTTATTTTTAGAAAGGGCAGTCCTCTCTGTTACAGACACTGAATTAAGGAGGTGCACAAATACTACATCATAGATTAAAGCTGGGGAGCAGTCTAGGCCCAGAGACACTTGGTCTGTGGCACCAAAAGAAGGCTCACCACTTACAGTACGCAAACCACTTCTCTTCTTCCCCCCCCCCCTTTTTAAAGTGGTTCCTTCTTTTTTTTAAAAAAAACCCCTTCCATAAATGCAACTCTTACTTCACTATTCTAGTTCCACTTCAGCAGTGGTGCAGAACAACTTTCTGTGGCATGGCATTGTGTTAGGAAATGCTGTAACTGAGTTTTAATTAGATAGGGAATATCATTGTAAAATCAACCAACCCCCCCAAAAAACAAAAACAATAAGATGCAAGTGAAAATAAGACACTGTATGGGTGCTAAATTTCCTTCCCAGATACAGATCAAATTAGCTAAATGATTCCTGGATATGAGTAAAGCCATTTAAAAATACGTATGTTAAGTGCTGGTCATGATTGTCTGTCTTAGCACTGAAATTGGAGGGTGAAGCTATTTTTGGCATAGTTTCTGTCAAATTCTGACTACTGTGCTTTTTACTTAAATGTAAATAGGCATTTTATTTTCTGATGACCCCTTTGGTTTCAGGATTTGTCAAAGATTAAGTATCCAGCCGTTGTGGACATCCCCTTTTTCATGTTAAGACTTGAAATGTGAAAAGCTCAAGCTTTTCAAGGTTAATGCTTGATCTTCAGCAGCAAAAGCAACAGAACAAGACAAGTGTAAACTGACCTTTCTCAGTGGCCCATGAATGCCAGGGTTGAATCATAACAACTGCTAATAGTTGACTTGAAAGAGGTTACTGTTAACCATGTCATTGTCAGGAAATCTGGCTCTGTGGCATCAAATGCTTGTATTGATGTAAGGACTGAACAGGCACCTCAGCCTGCACAGGAACATCAGTGTACTAAGTTCTTGATTATTGTACCCACAATTGTTAGCAGCAATAGAACTACATCAGTTGTACAGGTCATTAAAATTTAATGTAGGTTGTTATGAAGATTAATATAATCAGGTTATGGCCAAACTACTCACTTTTTTCCACAAGTAGGTGTACATTTTTTATTTTGGATTTGATTTATCCTCAAGTCACTTTGGCCTCTGGCAGACATTAAAAGAAGAAAACTAAGAAAAAAGAACAGATTAATGGTAGCCTGAATAAAGATATGAAAGATATTAACTTATACTACCATGCATTTCATTGTGGAATATATCTTGTGACCCAAATGCAGTAAAATAAAGCTGTATCAGATTATATTCAGGCACCAATCCCAGGCTTTATTTGCCTGGCACTATTGTGTCTACTCAGTGCTGGCAGAACCTTTCAATCGCAGTAAAACTATTGGCGTTTGATACTTGGGAGTCCTAATGTGACCACACTGCTTAGCATCCAAGTTGTAATGGGGTTCTGAACTAAGCATTTCCATGTATTTTGCATGTGGGGCCTAATATATTTGCTGCTCTTAGTATTCACCTACCAACTCAGACCTCACACAGGACAAAACTTTTCCAGAAACTCCAGTGCATGCAATTTACCCAACCACTCACTAGATTGAGTACTCAGTTGCCATCTATTTAATTCAAATCTCTATCTCCCACATTCCAGAATGGTGCACTAACTACTAGGCTACTGGGTAGTCTGGATGAATCTCCCTTCTGCTGCAGCTGTTTTATTCATATACTGAATATTCATTGGCTTAGAGAGAGCAAGAGCAACTTTATAGCCCAGTGATTGTGACAGTCAGTTGAGAGCAGCCTGTACTTCAATTGATATTTGTATGGCTTGGAACAGTTCAACAGGAGGGACTGACACCCATCCAGAATACTGATCATCCTGGAATGTAGGGTATTCTTGCAGACAACAGACCTGTTCTCAGATCAGGTGGTGAGAATTTGAAAACAGGGCTCTTACATCTCAATAGAGCAGGGGTGGGAAAAATGGTGGATCTAGCTGGTGGCTGGACTCCATTTCCCTGCACCCCCTGCCCACATTGCTGAAACTGGTTTTCATGGAGACTCTAGGAGCAGCAGGGCCATGACAGCATGTGGCCAGGGTTTCCATGGAGACCGGTCCCAGCAGCACTGGCAGGGTGTATGGCTGGGCAGGGAGGTGCTCTGGGGCCGAAGTCAAGATCTGATGGTGACAGTATGGTCTGGAGCTGTGGTGGAGTTGCGATCCCTGCCCAGGGCGTGGGCAGATCACAGCTCTGCCATGGTCCAGAACCAGGTTGTCACCATTGCAAGATCCCATCTCCAGAACAATTCCCTGCCCAGCAGAGCACCCTGCCAGTGCTGCTGGGACTGGTTTCCATGGAAATATTGGCCTCATGCTGTCACAGCCCTGATGCTCCTTTAGTCTCCATGGAAACTAGCCACAGCAATGTGGGCAGGGGCTGCTGGGAAATGGAGTCTGCTGCAGGCCTTATCCAGCCAGTGGGCTGGACTTTACCTGCCCCTGCAATACTGCCTAAATCACTGGACTGCTGGGCATGATGGGGAGAAGTGGTTTTTTTTGTTTGTTTTTTACAACTATAAAGACCAACTTGGCTTAGGCAAGACTCTGGGAAAGGGGTCATGGCTGAGAATCCCTGAACAGGGGTAGATACTATGCCAGCTTTGAGGGCATAGGTTTTGTTCTGGTTTGCCCATCCTTAGACACTTACCTTGCATAGGTTATGTGCTGAGGTTCTCTCCAAAATACACCCAACTGGGATGAAGTTGCCATTAGCCAACTGCAGCACCTAGAAGTCAGGCACTAGACTGCCTGAATTCCTGTGCCAACTGCAGCACCTTAACCGCTATCATTTTGCAATTAACAATGCATTACTGGAACATTTTAAAAATGTCTTTGGGGGACTAAATGCACTGTGAAAAGTGTGTTCACCTTTTTAAAAACAATAAAGCCTTCAGTTTGTCCTGGTTTGGATCTTTGTTGGCTAGACTCTCCATTCTTGGATTTTAAGATCAGGTTAAACTGACACTTGAGCAGAATGGTTTAGTCGGGGATAATTCTTGAGCAGGGGGCTGGACTAGATATCCTGAGGTTCCTTCCAATCCTTCTATTTTATGGGAGAGGGAACAGACATACTCAGAGCAAGTTACTGCAGGAGCTGCTCCCCCTACTTGCCTATCAAGATGGAATTACAATGTATGGTGGATTAGCATTTGGCAAACGGATGCAGTTTGCTCCAATCCAGTTAGGTCTAGTGCCAGTTATATGACACAATACTGCCTTTTTTTGCCGAGATTCATTATTTGGGTCTCAAGGCTATTACAACTTGCTGCTGTTCTGATAACTGAGGTAAATAGTGGCTTAGAATTCTTGGCCTCAAGGCACAAGCAACATACTTGTCAATATAGACCAGCACTTCACTTAAGTCTCTCAGAGTGAGGAGAAGGCCAATTAGGAGAGGATCTATAAGCAACAGTTCCAAATGAATAAATACTAGCTGGAGCAGCCTTACTATGCACATAGCTGGGCTGGGAAGTTAGAAAGGATTCATGAAACAACTGTTTTGCTGTCTAGAGCTATGCAATGATGCGAGTGAAGTGACCCAGCTAGATGAAAAGCACTCTGAAAACTACAGCAAAAAAGGCTAAGGGAAGAAAAATAAGTCACATGAAAATCACTCCAGGAAACTGGCTAACAGCAGGGATGGTGCAGAAATAATAGTAGTTAAACAGGATGTTAGTAGCAGAGAATCACAGGCCAGCAAAAGTAGGCAGAAAATGAAGATCCTTCATTCCAGCTTCACAAATTAGGCAGGGGTTGTTTGTTTTTTTTAAAGGAGTGCTATAAAAAAGTTGCTTGACCCTTGGAGGCATTCTTTAGCTTAATAAGAAACAGAGCTGGTTAATTTCTAGTAGCAAAAAGAGTTCATGCACATACCCAGAAAGTATTTTCAACAGACTGCTATATACCAATTCCATTTCAGAAGAAGGATAATGCCTTGACATTCTCGCTCTATTCTACTAATATTATTAAAGCCTAATGCTGGACTGTATCCTTGGTACAACATCCTTATTTCACCAGGGCAGTCAGTGAGCAGAAGGATCCTACCTATTTTCTGAGCCACATGCTTAACTCCAGTATTAGTCAGATACACAATGCCACAAATGCATCTGATAAGAGCTGTGCAAGTGACACTTATGTTAAGCTGGATGAAGTGGTTTTTTGTCCCTGATCAGTGGAAAGACGAGGGATCAGACAAAGTCTAAGCTCTACTTACAGATGCTCTGACTAACAAGACACATCTTAGCACATATTTATCTGGTCTCTTTGTCCATGAGACCAGCACATCAATCTTGCCTCCTTTCCTTTTATCTGCATACTGCTTGGTGGGGCTGTAACTGCACTAGCTGTTATTCCAAAATCAATTTGTCACTGTCAACTAAGTGAATGTATGTCAGTTTGGGTTCTGTATACTCTAGAATTCCACAGCAGAATTAACCCAGTGTGTCTATAAAAACAAACACCCCACACAATCTTCATTACCATCATCCCTTCTACCCCAGCAGCTCAGAACAGTGTTCTTCATTACATTCTCTATGAGAACTTTACTCTGCTGCTCAAAACCTCCCATGTATCAGAGGGATACCATCTTAGCACCAGCTTATCTTAATCACTGGTCACTATACTGTTTTCCATACAACCCAGCTAGCCTGCCTAGTTTTCTTGCTATTTCTTTGCCTTTACTGCTAGCTGGGCTCTTCATATTCCCTACTATCAAGAATGCTACAAGCACACACCCATGTTTTGCAGGGAAAACTACAGACAGACCCTAGAAAAAGTAGCAGCATAGCAGGTGCCTTGCTACAGTACAGTGAGCAACCTCATGATCTGGAAAATGCCAAACTTGGTGTTCACAGAACTGAGATATCCCTGGAACAGAGAGAGATTACCTAGGTATTTCACACCTCTTGGGCTGTATCAGGCACCTTACAAATATAAGTGAACATCACTTGCTTTTTG